CCCCTCCCTCCCCTCCCTCTCTCCCTCCCCTCCCCCTTCCTCTCCCTTTCCCTCTCCTCTCTCTAGCTTTCCCAGTAGGCCTTTCCCTCTTTGGCACATTTGGAAACTGCAGTTGATAATTGACTGTGGACTAGTGAGCATTTTTTGTTTTAAGACAACACGCAAGGTAAATATCTTGCCTTTTACTTTACCTTCTCTTTGCTTTCCTTTGCCAGCCTGTTAGCTGCTGGGGGCCACTGCAGACCTCTCCCCCCAGATGGGGGGCACTTCTCCATGGGGGTGAGTGGGTGCTTCCTGTCCCCTGTTGCTACTTCTCATCTCATTTTTCTGGAGGGCAGGAGGGACCATGAAATGCCTGCTCAGCCTTGGAAACAAAAGCTCCCTTCCAGCGCCTGCTGTGTTGTCTGGGCAGCCGCCTCCTGCCTGGCCTTATGGCCTCTGCCTCCCACAGGCAGGAGCCCTGCCTCTCAGTGATGGCATCCGTCCGGCAGTGGTTTTCTCTCACGAGGCTGAGCATTTTCCTAACTAAACGCTCCCAGCTCTGCCTCGATGTCTCCCGAGGAGGCCTGAGGCTCCTCGGCCCCCCGCCTCCCTGCCCCTTCCCGTCCTAAAGAGGACTGAACACCTGGGGTCAGGGGACCCGCTGCCTGTACGGGCTCCGATGCCGATTTTCCCTCTCCCCTCTAGGGTCCAGCCACAGCAGACCCGGCCTCCCGGCGGAGGAGAGCCCTGGGCGGAACCCGGGAGTTTAACTGCTTGACAGGCAGCCCCAGGTCTGGGGAACGGACAATCACGTGGGGAACTGGAGCGAGCCAAGGAGCGGCTTCCTGCCAGCCTGTCCGCATCCCCTGCAGGCCACGTTTTAGATGGCCCTCGTGGACGCGGGTCCTGGCTGCCCTCAGAACCAGAGGCTGGTGCCAGGAGCCTCAGCAGGTCCTGCCCCCCTTTAGGAGATGGGGGTCCGCCGGGGCCAGCCCTCCAGGCCTGCTTCCGAACGGAATGAAAGGAACAGTGCCACCTCCAGTCCCTGGGCCAGCCTCCCTGTGACAGTGCAGTGTGTTTATACCTCTTCTGGCCAAGCCACCACGTGAGTGCACGGTTACCGCCTCTCTGCGGCCGTGACCTGTTCTCTCTCTGCTTTTCATCTGCCAGCCTCCTGCTGCTGGCAGCACCAGTGTGGGCTGGGGGTTCACATCCGTGGCCTTGGCCCCTGTGACCTTTCAGGCTTCCCTTATGATGCCATGCTTCAGAGCACGCGCCCAGCCTGTCCCATGTGCCAAACCTGGAAGCAAGCCTGTCACACCAGCCCCGCTCCCTCCCGTGCAGGTGGCTTTCTCACGCTGGCCCCGCGGGGCTGAGGAACCTCTTCCTCCTGCCACTCCTCAGCCTGCCTGGCTCAGTCGCCACTAACAGTATTGTCGTTTCCTGTGTTTTAAGAAGAGGTCACACGTGGGAGGAAGGGACCGCTCTGCTGCACCTAAGCCTTTGTCGTGGGGTTCCGGGGAGGGCAGCCCGCGGCCCCCCTGGGGGCACCGTGTGGCTGTCAGGTGCGTGGAGGGTGGCCAGGGTGGCCAGGGCTGGTTGTGAACCAGGTGGAACCCTCTCCATCCTTTGGAAAAAAGAACATGATGTCGGAGTTTTTCTTAGATCTCTGAAGCATTTCAAGCTCTTTGCTATTTTCCTTTTCTAGCTCTGGGGTTTTAGAGAAGCGGGAACGAGAAGGTATTTGTCTCGCCTTCTGGTTCACCTAAAGTCACCTTCCACAGTGTTTCAGCTGCGCAGAAACCAGGGCATCACGGGGACCAAGGATGGGGAGGGGGCAGGATTTCTGGAACCTTTCCCAAAGGTATTTGGGTCCTTATCCAGGATCAGTGGGAATGAAGGCCAAAAAACAGTGGCATGCTCACCGAGAGACTTTTCTCAAGGAATTCTCTCCAGGAGCAAACCCAGGTGGGAAGTAGATACTTTAAATTCTCTCTCTCCAGAACAGTGGTTCTTAACTTTGGCTGCACATTGGAAATCACCTGGCAAATTAAAAATACTGATACCTGGGGCCCACCCCCCAGGGATTCTGATTTAACCAGTCCAGGCATCAGGATTTTCTTCTTTAAAATTATTTTAGGTTCACAGATCATATACCCTTCACACCCGCTTCCCTGAATATCTCACATAACCTTGGTGCATTTATCGAAACTAAAAAATTAACATGGGTACAAAACTATTAACTAAATTACAGACTTGGATTTTTATCAGATTTTCCATCATGTCCCTTTTCTGTTGCAGGATCCAATCCAGGACACCAAGTTGCATTTAGAGCTATTGCTTTTTTTTTTTCCTAAGTAACTTGTTACTTTGAAATAATTAACAGATTCATAGGAAGTTGCAAAGATAGAGGTCCCATGTACCCTTCACCCAGTTTTCCTCAATGATTACATCTTACATAGTTACAGTGCAGTATCAAGACCAGGAATCTGACACTGGTGCAATGTGGGCATATAGTTCTATAGCATCTTATCACATGTAGATTTGTGTAACCACCACTGCAATCTAGATACAGAACTGTTCCTCCCTAGGATCTCCCTCCAACAGACCCTTTATTAGAGCCCCACCCCCACCCCTTCTGGCCACTATCCCTAATTCCTGGCAACCACTAATCTGTCCATCATCTCTATAATTTTGTCATTTCAAGAATGTTGTATAAATGGGATCTTAACAGTATGTAACCGTTGGGACTGGCTTTTTTCACTCAGCATAATGTTCTGGAATCTCCTCCAGGCTGTTGCACGTGTCAATGGCTCATTCCTTTTTGATGGCTGTGTGGTGTTCCATCATATACTCACTGTCCTGTCTAAGGACATCTGGGTGGTTTCCAGTTTTTGGCTATTCCAAATAAAGCTGCTATGAACATTCATTACAGGTTCTTGTGTAAACATGGGTTTTCTTTTCTCTTAGCTAAATGTCTAGGAGTGCAGTTGCCAGGTCGTACAGTTACTGCATATTTAAGTTTTAAAAGAAGCCGCCGAGCTTTTTCAGAGTGCCTGTACAGCCTTACGTTCCCACCAGCAATGTGGGAGTATTTTCCCACATCCACTCCAGGATTTGGTATTGTCACTATTTTCTATTTCAGCCACTCTGGTAGGTGTGTAGTGCTATCTCATTGTGGGTTTTATTTGCGTTTCCATAGTGGCTAAGGTATATTTTTTCATGTGCTTGTTTCACCTTGTGAAATGTCTGTTCATGTCTTTTGCCCATTTTCTAATTAGATTGTTGTTTTTACTGCTGAGTTTTGAGAATTCTTTATATATTCTAAATACTAGGCTTTATTGGGTTTTTGGTTTGCAGATTTTTTTTTCCTAATCTGTAGCTTATTTTTTCATCCTCTTAACAGGATTCTTTTGCAGAGCGAAAGTTTAAAATTTTGGTGAATTACAACTTACTGATTTTCTTTTATGGATTATGCTTTTGGTGTCATGTCTAAGAATTCTTTAGTCCTTGGTTGTGAAGATTGTCTTTTTTCTAAAATTTTACAGTTTCAATTTGCATGTAAGTTCGTGATCCATTGTTGCTTTTTAAAAAATTTTTTTGCCTATAGATGTCCAGTTCTTTCAGCACCATTTGTTGTAAAGCGTATCTTTCCTCCGTTGAATAACTTTTGCATCTTTTGGCATATTTGCTGTGTCTATTTCTGGGTTGTCTGTTCTGTTCCTTTGACGGATGCGTCTGTCTCTTCACTGGTACCACACTGTCTTGATTATTATAGCAATTTAATAGGTCCTGAAATCAAGTGGACTGATCTCTCCCACTTTGTTCTTTTCCAGAGTTGTTTTAGTTTTAAATTTTAGAATAATCTTGTCTACATATACAAAGAAAAATCTTGTTGGGATTTTGGTAGGAACTGTGTTAAACTTGTGTATCAATTTGGGTGGAACTGACATCTTTACTCAGCTGCATCTTTCAATCCATGTGTACGTGTCCATTTATTTAAATCTTTGGTGTCATTCATCAGAGTTTTGTAGTTTTCAGCATACAGGTCCTTAGATGTTTTGTTAGATTTACACCTAAGTGGGTTTTCTTTTTAGCAATTACAAATGGTACTGTGTGTTTTAGTATTCAGATTCATTGTTAGTATGTAGAAAAAAGGTTTTCGTATGTTTATCTTGTATCCTGAGATCTTGCCGGAACTCCCTTATTGTAGGTGGGGTTTTTTGTTTGTTTTTTTTCTGGTGGCATGCAGGATCTTAGTTCCCTGACCAGTGGTCAACCCTGTGCTCCACCCCCGCACACCCCCAGCCCCCGCAGTGGAAGTGCGGAGTCTTAACTACTAGGCCGCCGGGAAAGTCCCTGTTTTTTTGGTTTTGTAGATTCCTTAGGATCTCCTACATAGACAAGCACGTTATCTGTATGATAATGCTGATATCCGGGTCCAAACCTAGGGATTCTGATTTAATCCATCTGGACATCAGGATTTTTAAAATCTTCCCTCTTGATTCTAATAGGCAGTCTAGGCTGAGAAGCCCTAGACCACCCTGCCTACCTGCTCTGCCCCTGGGGACCTGTCTTGCTGTCAGGCCGGCATGGTTATCAGGCTTGAGTTTCTGAGGAACTGGCCCCTCTCAGCCCAGAAAAAACAACCAGGCCGTGATGGATTATCAACCAGTTTTAATGAACAAAAAATACTGATACGTATAAAAAGGTATTTTTTTCTGTCACTTAAGTGTCCCCATTTCCTAGATGGGAAGTGTCTTGTCCATGGACTTGAACGCCTGTTTCTCCCATGGCCCTAGCGTCTGGGTGCATGGGGCTCTGTCAGGACAGGGCAGGAGGTGCCCACGTGAGGGGAAGGCGTGTGGCCCCTGTTGGGAGCTCTTGTCGGCTTTTTCACAGAATAGAAATTGCCTTGTCCTTGGCCTGAGAAGGCCGCCAGTTAGACTAAAAGTAAAGTAACTGCTGCAAAATGGCTATCAACCCAGGTTCCTTATGTGAGGGGCTGACCTTCATCCTGGAGCTCAGGTTCCTTATGTGAGGGGGCTGACCTTCATCCTGGAGCTCAGGTTCCTTATGTGAGGGGGCTGACCTTCATCCTGGAGCTCAGGTTCCTTATGTGAGGGGCTGACCTTCATCCTGGAGCCCAGCCCTCTGCCTGTGGCTCTCAGTTTAGGGCAGAGCTCTTCTCAGATGCACCTTCTGGCATGTAAGGACCCTGCTCGCCAGCAGTACAGCAGACAGGTCTGCACCAGTGCAGCGTGACCGGGAAAGGACAGTGTTGGGGGGAAGCTTTAGGGGAGTGTCTGGAGGTGGGGCCTCGGGCCACCGCCAGTTGGCGGAGGAGGGAAAGGAGCAGCTGAGCTCAGAGCCCTCCACGTCCTGCCTCCGAATGTTTGTTAGGGTGAAGCAGCACGGCCGTGGCTGCAGGGGCCAGGTGAGAGCGCGCACTCTAGTACCAGGGCCGGGGTGACGTCAGCGCCGGAGGCAGAGCAGGGTTACAGGCCACCACGCCAAAAGCTGAGTGGGCCGCAAGCAATCCCCAGCACCCAGGCGCGTCCCCCTACAAGGGGAGCCACTAGATGGCCAACCAGAGGGCAGCGGGCAGGCCTGTCCGAAGCCTTCGACAGAGGGCACAAGGTTTCCCTAAAACATTAGCTCCAGCTCGTCGGCCTTGGGGCTTCTGAGGCAAGCAGGCTGGGGCTGGCCTTCTGTGCAGGGGTGCTCAAAGCCGTCCAGCAGCCCCCTCCAGACGGCCAGGCATGGAGGCCCCTGGAGAAACCTGCACCCAAGGGCATCTGCTGCTGGCCACGCACCGAGTCACCACCTGGTGGCAGGAGGGCCCTGGTGGAGGGCAGAGCCTAGCCGCCTCCTGGACCGGGGACCAGTGGGCACCGAGGAGCCCTGGCACCGGCCCCAGGGAGCTCGAGGCTGTTCCTGTGCTGCTCCGTCCTGGGCCCCCATGCTCCTCCGCTGCCCCTCGTCTGGACCCACTTTGTTTCCTGCACGCACCTGCCACCCCCGGGTCCTCTGTGTCAGCCCCCAGCTCGCGCCCCGGCGGGGACCAGCTCAGCCTGGGACAGGAAGCCGGGGAGGCTGGTCTGACAGGGCTGCCTGAAGGCACGGAACCAGCCCTGAGTGGGGAGTCATGACCAAGGGAGGACCAAGCGGGTGAGACACGTGAGTGGCACGGGGGCGGAGATGACAGGATGGAATGGTGGCTGCGAGTGGCCCTGAGGATCGGCTGCTGTCAGCACCGGGTATGGGGGTGCCCCACGTGGGCCTGCAGTGCTTCCCAGATGCCCCACTGCCAGTCCTGGGGCAGCTACGCTGGGGTCACTGAAGCCTGGGGACGAGGACGCCGGGTGAGTCCCTGCTCTCCTCCCCGGAGCTGCCCACCCCGCTTGCACTTACTGCATTCTCACGTCCAGCCCGGCCCCGGAGAGCAGTAGCACCTTCAGGGCTCTGCAGCGGCCGGGCTGCACCGCCTCGTGTAGAGCCGTGTCCCCTTCCTGTCGAGGTGGGGGCGGTGTCCTCCTCACCTTTGCTTCCCGGGGAGGGTCAGGTCAGCAGCTACTGTCGCTGAGCTCAGGCTGCCTTAGTCGTGGCCCCCAGGGGCGGAGCCGCCCCAGCCCGGGACAACCAGATGCCTACCTTGTCCTGTGCGTCAGCGCAGGCCCCGCAGGCGAGGAGGTGCTGCAGGCAGTCGCGGTGCACGGGGCCATGTGCAGGGGCGTGCCCCAGATCTAAGGGAGTGGTGAGGCTCAGTGTCATTCCAAGCTGGCAAGGCCGTGTCCCAACCCCAGGAAGAGCATCGGGCCGCCCCGCAGCCTGTGCCCTCCCCTGGTCCCGGGCATTGACCCGGGCGCCCCAGTTAAGCAGCTGTTTGAGGATGTCCAGGTGCCCTCCACGGCAGGCCCAGAACACAGGGGTCCCGTCTGGCTGCAAAACAAAAGCACCAAAGTAACCCTGACCTGCAGAGATGCCAGGCGGGGGGTCTGCCGTGGGGATGGCCCTTCCCTGGTTCTCACCAAGTCCCGAGTGTCCACGGTGGCACCCGCCTCCAGCAGCTTGTTCACGAGCTGGCTGTGACCCTTCGGACAGGCCCAGTGCCAGGCCGTGCGGTGGAGCTGGGGTGCTGCGGACGGGAGTTAGCTGCAGGGAGCGCAGCCACCCCCGGAGGTCCCACCCGCAACCCCATTCCCAGAGCTGGTGCCTGAACAGAGCTGCTTACTCCCCCGTCGTGTGAAGGGCCTCTCCCTCCAGACTCGGGAGGCATCATGGGACCCATGCCCCATAAAACAGAAGAGCCCTGCAGTTTCCTAGGCTCTGACTGGACCACGCTGAAGGCCGCATGCCTGCACCCACCCTCGCTACCTTGTCGTGGGCACTGGGGTCCCCTCTGTCTGTCAGGAACTTGTCAGTCAGGGCCTCCTGGTTCTCAGCAGCTGCCTGCGGGAATGCATCCAGGTCCACGGGCTGCAGCTGGGCAAGTTCAAGGACGAGATCAACTCACTCCCCACACTAGGCCTCCGGGACACAGCCTCACCAGTCTAGCCAAGTGGTTCTAAGTAGCTGGCGGAGGACCAGCGCACTGTTGGCTTATACAAACAATAGATTTAAACGCTTGCCCCCAGGACTTCCCTGATGGCGCAGTGGTTAAGAACCCGCCTGCCAATGCAGGGGACACGGGTTCGAGCCCTGGTCCGGTAAGATCCCACATGCCGTTGAGCAACTAAGCCTGTGCGCCACAACTACTGAGCCTGCGCTCTAGAGGCCACGTGCCACAACTACTGAAGCCCGTGCACCTAGAGCCCGCGCTCCGCAACAAGAGAAGCCACCGCAATGAGAAGCCCGCGCACGGCAATGAAGAGTAGCCCCCGCTCGCCGCAACTAAAGAAAGCCTGCACGCAGCAATGAAGACCTAACGCAGCCAAAAATACATTAAAACAAAAAAAAAAAAACTTGCCCCCAGAAGATTCTGACTGAAGGTATGGGGCGGGGTTACAGATTGACTTGTGTTCCGCTCCCCTGCACAGGTTCATATTGTTGTAGTCCTCACCCCAGTACCTCAGAACGTGACCTTATTTGGAAATGGGGTCATTGTAGCTGTAATCGGTTAAGGTGCCGTCATACTGGAGTAGGGTGGGCCCCGGTACAATAGGAGTGGTGTCCTTGTTGAGAAGGGACAGACCTTTGGACACAGGCATGCAGGCAGGGAGAAGGTCACATGAGCTCAGAGGCAGAGATCGGGGCGACGAGGCCATAAGCCAAGGAACATCACCAACCCCAGAAGCTAGGGAGAGGTGTGGACGGATCCGCCCCCAGAGCCTCAGAAGAAATAAACCCTGCCTGCCAACTCCTTGATCTTGGACTTCCAGCCTCTGAGACGACCATAAATAGCTGTTGTTTAAGCCCTCAGTTTGGGGTACTTGGTTCCAGCAGCAGCCGTGGAAAACAACGCTGGGGGCGGAGGGCCCCCTGGTGCGGGCTGTGCAGCTGCAGCGGCAGTGTCACTCCTCCCCAGGCCTCCCACAGGGACGGGGTGGGGGGGGGGGGCTCCTGCTCAGGCACTCCAGCCCTGGTGTGGCACTCCCACGCACCCGCCTTCCTGCTCACCTTGACCTCAGGCTCGGGTGCCCTGGCGGGGACTCTGCATTTCAGTCGCTTTTCTCTCCGTCTTCGAACCAACGTTTCCAGGTCAGCCAGGCTCTCCAAGTTAGCTCTGGGACTGCTGAATCTTTCATGCTGGGGCAGAAAGCGGGCAGAAACAGGACCACGCCAGCCATTGGCTGCTGGCCACGGCAACCCTGGGGCAGCTCTTGGTGGTTCTAACCCTCGTCTTCCCAGCCGCAGGAGAAGTGCCGCGCCCAGGCTGTCAGACCCTGAGCCCCGGGCTCGCGGCCCCCCTGCTCCACGTGCCCGTGCCCCGTGCCCCCTGCCCCCCGCCACTCACTCTCCTCCTCTCCTTGTCCAGTTCCTGCCTCTCCCGGGCCTCGGCCTCCAGGATCAGACACTCCATGTCCACGTCCCAATCTTTCCTTTCGACTCTCTCCAGTTACCTATAGGAACAAAGAATCAGAAAAATTAGGAGGAGCCCTTAGAAAACAACTGTGCCAGACAGGGGAGTCCTGCCAGGAGCTGACGTACAGAGATTAGCGATCTGGATGTTGATCTGAGAGCTGGCCTGACCCCTCTCAAAGCTCCATGGCAGAGCAAGCCCCGCCGGCTCCCTGACCCCCGTGCTTGTCGCTGGCTCTCACCACCTGCAGCAGCGCCCGAGCGCCCGAAGCCCGGGGGCTGACTGCTGCTCACTCTGTCCTGTCAGCAGGAACCCTGCGGACGCCACATCTATTTATGCTGCTGGGCTGCGTCCAGGTGAGCTCAGGGCCTCCCTCGTGGGTTGTTGTCCTTAACATTCCTACCCGATCACACTACACTGCCACCTGACCCCAAGCCCGGGGGACAGAGGAGGTGCCTCCCGGATAAAATTCTGAATTCCTACGTTCAGACTTTGGCTCTTCATGAAGCTATGTTTCTTCATAATAAAATGGGGTAAAACTAGCACTTACCTCTTGGTAAGTATAAAAATGAAATGACTACCGGTGCTGTGCTTAGGGCAGAACCCACCAAACAATGGTCCATTCTTTTCTTCCTCCCCTGGCCCCCAGCCCCGTGATTCAGCGGCTCCCCGAATAAGCACGTTGAGGGGAGAGAAAAGGCTGGAATGATACGACGGCAGAGCCTAGGGCTTCCAGCCACGTAGAACTACATTCCATTCCCTTCTAAAGCAAAATCAGGCAGCCTAACACTTCCTGGGCCCTGCAACCCGCCTCCCAGCAGCGGCTGTCCTGGGCTGCGGCCAGCAGGGCCCTGGCCCGCAGTGGGGCTTGTGGGGCAAAGTGACGCCCCGGGCCTCGCTACCCTCCATGCCCCATCCCCCACAACAGACGTCCCAGAGTGTCACTGGTGTGCCTGCTTTTCTCGCTGCCCAGGGAACTCGAGCGCCCTCCTCCTTGTCCCCAGCCAAGGCAGCCAGACCCTCCAGACCATTTCCCCAGCAAAGACCAGCAACGCAACTGAGCTCAGCCGGCACCCAGCCACACTTGTGTCTTCCGGGGTAACCTGCCGCTTCCCGTTCCTCTTTGGCCATCACAGTCCAGGGCAAAACCCACTACATTCAAGGATTTTCTCGTCTACCATCGCCAGACGCCTTTCTCACCGTGTCTCTCTCTTGCTCCTTGGCCCCTCACCACCTCACACGAGAACTAGGCAGACAGGCCGGAAAAGTACTACAGGTTTCTACTCCTAAAACCTCCTCAGGCACCAGAAAGGAGCTGCCCGGCCTCCGCGTTCTGCTGAGACGGTCTGGGGGTGCCCAGACCACTGCCCGGCCTCCGCTGCACGTCCTCACCAACTGCTGGATGCTGACGAAGTCCATGGCCTCCCCCTGCTCGTCACGCCCCCAGTGAGAAGAGCCGAGCAGCTCAGCCCTTTTATAGGAGAGCTGTCGGGGGCCAGGGGGGCAGGGCAGAGGCTCGGGCCCCAGCCAGGCAACTCCGTGGCTCCGTAACACCCACCAAAGTACTGGTGTGAGCACACAGCCCACTGCGGGTGTGGGAGAGCGAGCTGTTTTGAGCTGCGTCAGTTGCATCCTCAGACACCCCGCATCCTGCACCTGTGCCATCCCCCCCCCCCACCCTGCACCTACTCAGAAGTGATTCAACCAATAAACACACATCCTGGGCGCTGGGCCACCAGCCCAGGTTCCAGGGGAAATGGCTCCCATTCTCCTAAGTGCAGATGCCCTGGAGAAAAAGAAGTGAGCCGCCACGTTGCTGTAGGTCTGGCTGCCTGAGACCCTGGGAGACCCGGCCCAACTGCCCTGGCAAAAAGACTCCTAAAGAGGACCTCTGCCTCAAGACGCTTCCTGGCTGCTACAGGAGGAGATCAAGGGATTTCCCAACTCCCGGCCAGAGGCCGCCTGGGCTGCTCTTGGTGGTGGTTTCCTTCCCCAGACACCCACCCTGCTCCCTCACCACTGTGACGGTCAAGGTCGATGATTAAGCTAGGCCACCATCAGAAGCCAAGCCCAGCCCGTCATCAGCCCCTCATGCCTCTTGAAGAGCCTCCCACGGCCGACACGCACGTCCCCCACCAGGGACCTGGTGGTGGACCTGGGCACGGAGACGCCCTTCACCAGGAAGGTGAGGTTCAGATCCGCTGCAGGTCCAAGTACGAACGTTAGCCATTAATCCAGTTGCAAAACAATCAGTCTGCAGCTACCAAAGCCAAACTTCCTAATTCTCCCTAAGACACCAAGCACGACTTCCACCCAGCTGTGCCTTGAATTCTGCCTTGACCTTTGAAGGGAAATCTGATTGCTCGTGTCACTCCGATTCTGGAGTCTCATTCACTAGCTATCAGATTTCCTAGTGAATAAGACTCGGAGCAACATGAGCAGAGATGACCAGGACGAGCCAGCCGGAGGGAGAACTGTGGATCCAGGGCAGCCCAAGGCCCCACCACAGCTGGTTTCTTGGTGACTGCTTCCAAGCCCAGCGGCCATGGCTCAAGGGCCCAGCCGCTCCGCGGCACGCGGGACCCTCCCGGACCGGGGCACGAACCCACGTCCCCTGCATCGGCAGGTGGACCCCCAACCACTGAGCCACCAGGGAAGCCCGAGCCCCGAGCTTTCGAGAGAAACTCCATCCTTATGCTCCAGGGTGTTTCTGTCAAAGGTGATTCTTGCCGGTGGTCCTGAGGAGGGAAACGGTTACCTGGAGGAGAGTGAGGGGAAACCGACGAGAACAGGCAGGACTTCAGCTCTGGACTCCACTGCCTGCCACACAGAGACTCCTCTCCTCCAACGTCTGAGGGCGGGGGCACCGACAGGCTGCATCAGAAATTCTCAGCAGAAGACTTACTGGTATTCACATGAAACTAATTGGTATTAACTTAATACTGGTATAACTTATCAAAGAAAAAATTTACTCCTGGTAAAAACTCCAAACATAGCAAATGAAGCTCAGGACACCCTTGGTTAAGTACTCTTGCCGTGGAGCCCGGGGAAGCCATGGGTACAGTTTAACACACAGCTTCCTCATGCTCCTCCTGTGTGTTGTGTGTACGCACCTACATGTTTCTACATACTTTACGTAATCACGACTCAGCACTCTTTCCACATTAGCATACGCTGCACTCAAAGTGCCGGAACCTCACCGTCCCCCTGCTGCAAACACCTAGGTTATCTCTGCAATTTTTTTTTTACGTTACACCCCATGCTCCAATCCAAATTTTTGAAAATGCCTCTGTAAATAAACATCTTTGGGGACTTCCCTGGCAGTCCAGTGGTTAGGACTCAGCGCTTCCACTGCAGGGGGCATGGGTTCGATCCTTGGTCGGGGAACTAAGATCCCGCAAACCGCTCAGTGAGGCAAAAAAAAAAAACCCCAAAAGCACACATCTTTGTGCACACAGATGACTATTTCTCTAGGGACCTACAGAGAAATCAATGTATTGGCCCCGTTCACTTAAATTTTAATAGATATCGCCAAACTGCCGTCCACACCGGCGGTAACCAATTTCCACGAACAGATAAAAACAAACACAGTTAAGACAAGGAACAGCATCAAAGAGAAAAGAAAAAAGATATATATAATTATGTACATCTATACATAACAAAGGATCAATATCCAGCCTACAGAAATAACTCCTATGAATCAAAAAAGAGAACAATTTTAGATGGACAAAGGGTACGGACAGGAAGGTCACAGAAGACAGGCGTTCAACCTCACCAGCAATTAGCGATGCAGCCAAACAGCACTGTGTAGTCTATCAGACGGTTGAAATGAATGAAATTACTATAAACGCAAGTGCTGGGCAGCTTCTGGGGAGGTGGGAGCTCCCACACACTGCCCGCACGGTGCCGGGCGCCCTCCCCAGCACTCCCCAGATATTCACTCGTCTCACCCCCATGTGGACTCCGAGGCAGCCCCACTGTAGTCACTCCCACCTTAGAGATGAGGGCGCAGGGGACTTCCCTGGCGGTCCAGTGGTTAAGACCGCGCTTCCACTGCAGGGGGCACGGGTTTGATGCCTGGTCAGGGGGGTTAGGATCCTGCGTGCCGCGAGGCAAAAAAAAAATGAGGACGCCGGACAGATGGGTAAAGTGACTTGTACCAAGGTCACTCAGCTAGAAAGCAGCTGTTCATTTGTCACATATTCCACAGTTTCTTCTCATGCTTACATACTTTTGTATCTTCAGATTTGGGTCTTTGCTCGAAATTTATTCTTGTGCGTGGGATGAGGTAAGGATATAACTTTATTTTTTCCAAACGGAGAGATGTTTCCACATGAACTAATTTAGAATACGGTCACCTGTCCAGGCTGGAGTACTGGCAGCCCCACCAAATCGCCACCCTTGCTTCCCCAGTGGCCAGAATGGGGCTCTTCCGGGGTCCTCCAGCCTCAGGATCCCACCCTGCGGCTCGGGCGCTGACCAAGGCGGGGGCTTGGAGGGCTAGTCCGTGTACCCCACACGCAGCCCGTGACACGAGCGGGGAGACTCAGCTGGCCAGCAGGTCCCGCAGGTCGCTGTTGCAGGGCAGCAGGTCACAGGCGAGTCGTGCCTTCCGGTCCCGGACGGCCTTCAGGGCTGGGCTGTGTTGCAAGAGGAGGGAGCAAACGTCCACGTGACCCTTCTCGGCGGCCTGTGGGGAGAGAGGCCCGGATCAAAAGCTGTACCCCACTGGGCCCTGTTCTTTCTTGCTCCACTTCTGGGGCCCTTTTAGTCCGAGAAAAGGTCTCGTGGAAATGGAGGCGCTGGCCGTCTGAGCCGGTTTCCCCTAACCCCTGCCAAACTGCAGTGACGTGCTGCAGGGTGGCGGGGCACCCTGGTGCCACTTGGGCAGTCAGCTTCAGCTTTTCTTCCTTGTGTCCTTTGCTCAGTGGCCATGCTTCTTTGCCGAGGCCTGCACATTAAGAACAAGGACAGAACCTTGGATCTCTAAGCATCTTTACAAACATTCAGATTGTCTATAGGGTGCTGGGTGCCGTGGGCACAAGACACATCAGACACGGCCCCTGCCCTCTGGGAACTTTCAGATGAGCGGAGAGAAACGGGCCCAGTACCCAGCTTTCTCCTCGTCCCCTCGGAGATCAACGATCCCAATCTGGATGTCAATTTCTAACCTACATCCTCCAAAAGAGAAGTGTTAAGTGATTTACATAGATTATCTTACTTAACTTTTATAATAACCATCAGAGGTAGGAAGTATCATTATTTCCACTTTATAGGCGAAAAAACTGAGGCTCATAAAAGTTGAGTAACTCGCCCAAGGTCACAGAGCTAATGCGGCAGCATGGGGAATTCTAAGCCAGGTCTGTCTGACCTCGAAGTCCGAACTCTCAATAGCTATGTTGTATCACTATATTCCCTACTCCTCCCAAGAGACAAATTAAAGGGCTACGGGGGCTCCTGAAAGGTATCAAAGTTAATGTTAGTACCAAACACCATCTCAAATTTGAATCTAAATCTTTATTCAGCATAAATATTATCTTGATGAGTACAGACCTGGGATTCCCAATTTTACTGCTTCAACTCAGGCAATAGCGTGTTGTGAGCAGTTGTAAGATGAATTCCAAATAATTTCTGGCAAAAGAAAGTGCCAATGTTTGCAGAAGGAAGCAAGGGAGGGAGGCAAGCAAGCTGGAAGGAAGGGACCATTCATATTCCTCACACACATGCATTCCCTCAATTTCTCGAGAATGCCGCAAGTCCGGGTGACACCAGCTAAGTCCATCCATGGCAGTGTCCTGCCTATCAACACCCATCATGTGAGCCGTGGCAGTGAAACACTCAAGCCAACACCAGTTTAGACCACTGAGAAACGAGCAACCTGCCTTTCCAACCAGCAAGGGTCTCAAAATGAAACAACCCCCAGCTGCTCACTCAGCACCTGAGCTCGGTGCTGAGGCCACGGCAGGAAACAGGGCCAATCCCAGCTGCCTCCAGTGAGACGGAGCTCACACAGGGAATCTCAAGGGGGAGAAGAGTCAGAAGTGAAGCAGAGTGCTTCTGGGCATCCAGGGGCAAGAGCTGTCCTCCTCTGAGGAAACGGGAAGGCTCTCTGAGGGCATGATGTAGAAGCTGCAATCCAGAAGGAAGGACAGATGCTAGTCAGAGGGAAAAGGGTGATGTGAGGCATCCGGATGCCAAGAGATGTGGTCTATGGCCTGCAAGTGATAGAGAAGCAGGTTCAAGAAACTGAAGACGACTAGCGGGGCAAGGGCAAGCTGGCAGGTAGGCAGGGGCTGACCCCAGAGGGCCTGTACAGCAGCGTAAGGACTTGGTAAAAGCAAGCCTCCGAAGGACTCGAAGGCATGGCGTGGTCAGAAGTGCTTTTTAAACCATCACTCTGGGAGAAAATCAGTGGGGCTAAGGGAGGAACAGGTTTGCACACATAGGCCGTAAGTATGCATCAACTGCGTCTCAAAGATGCACAAGAAATCGGTAAAAGCAGATGCCTTAAGGGAGGGAAGGGAAGACTAAGGGACCAGGGGTCGGGGGGAGGCGGGGCGGGGAGGGAAACTTGTGTCCACGGTAGACATTCTGTACTCCTCAAACCGTTCACAGCGGGTAGGTGTTTCTAGTCAGAAAACATTTAATTAAATGATCACTCCGATCACAGTGTGGAAAGCAGACTAGAGGGATAGGCAAGAGTGGGTGCAAGTTTCAGAAAACTCCGTGGAAAAGCATTGAGGACACATCATTAAGGGGAAGAAAAAAAAATGACGCCATACGTTTAGTTCTAATTTATGTGTGCAGGAGACATGCTGGAAAATTATACGTTAATCCTAAAGTGACGAGAGGTGAGCACTGAGATTACAAACGATTTAAATTTTCTACTTTATGCTTTTCCGTTTTCCCCATGTTTTCTACAGTGAACGCATTATAACTTTTACTTTTTTATTTTTGGCCATGCCTTGCGGGATCTTAGTTCCCCGACCAGCGATTGAACCTGGGCCCACAGCAGTGAAAGCGCGGAGTCCTAACCACTGGACGGCCAGGGAAGTCCCATATTATAACTCTTCTAATGAGAGAAGACAAGTTCTTGCAACCTGTGAAACTTCCAAGAGGGGACCCACCTTGTGCAGACTGGTCATGCCGTCGTCGTCCACCAGCCTGGGATTGGAGCCGTGCGACAGCAGGAGCCGGGCGATGTCCGTGTGCCCACAGTAGCTGGCCCGGTGCAGAGCGGTGGCTCCCCCGTGGGTCTGGGCATCACACTTGGCCCCGCTCTCCAGCAGGAACTGGCACACGGCATAGTGCCCGTTGCGGCTGGCATAGTGCTGTGGGGAACAGAGCCGGGGTCAGGGGGCAGAACCCCGGCGGGGGGTGCCCCCTCCGGCACCTGGGTGACCAGGATGAGCCTTCATTCCTAGCTTCAGTTGCCGCCACTGTAAACTGGGGATAATAACCATTCCTACCTCGCAGAATTCTTATGAGAACGAAGTTAAATAACTAATGCAAAGCACTTATGCTAATTAAAAAAAACCAGGTTCACGTGATGCTTAAACAGAAACCCTGCTGGGAGAGGAGGAAGGGTGGGAGAAGAGAAAATGCAAACATCATCCCCTCCCCACCCCCAGAGAGCAGGAACCCGGTGAGGCTCATCCCCAGCTCACCAGAGCCGTGTAGCCGGCGGAGTCGGGCTGGCTGGGGTCAGCTGCCTTCTGAATTAAATACTTCACTCGGCCCAGGTCCCCGTTCAGGGCTGCAGACCAGATTCCTGCAGAAGGACAACCCGAGCACTGAATAACACTGAATGACTGGGGGCTTCCAGCGCTCCCTTTACCTCCTGACCTCTTGTTTTCTCATCTATAGAATGGAAATTCATGGGTTCAACAAATATTAACACGAGCACCTCCTCTGTGTCAAGGACTGTGCTGGGTGCTGGCGACATCGCTGGGAGCAAGACAGACAAGGGACTTGTCTAACCAGGACAGGAGATTGGGCAGACACAGTCACCCTTCTTCCCACTGCAAACACACCAGTGTTGGATAAAGTACTGTTTAAGATGTTTGAATATACAGTCACAGTCAAAAGGAAGAACAGGACATTGCCAGGTGACAGCGCAAAGTGAAAACCACAGCCAAAGTTGTGAACAGTCACCCCATCTGTGGAATCCCGAGAGTCCTCAGAACCGTCCCACAACTCAGAGGGCTTTGGCTGGAACGCCTGAGCGAGCAGCGTCTGGAGCAAAGTCGGCCGTGCGCACGGTGAGAAACCAGACAGAGCCAGGCTCTGTGCACAAAGCCGCGGGTGGCGAGTGCAGCACCAAGGATAGTCTGGGGCAAAAGAGTTACCCCGCTGAGCCCACAGGTAGGGATGACATCGCCTGCCTCGAGGCCATCTCTGCCGTATCTCACGCCTGCAGTGCCCACAGGCAGCCCCCCTGGTCTGAAGCTCCACCCACTCGGGGTGGGTGCAATACCCTGGCTGCAGGCTCTGCTGCCCAGGAGCAGACCCGGGAGCAGGGCTGGGTGTCCCAGGGTCGCACCAGGTGAGGAGCCGGGCCCAGCCGCACCACTGGGGAAAGTTCCTGAAACCAAAGCCTGTTTCCCGACCTGCACGCGAGCCGGTGTTTCTAATGCCGAGCTCCCGCCGGGTCCCTGGCGGGCTCTCACTACGCGGGAGCGGTAAGCCCACCGCCCGCCAACGCTCCGACTAGGTCCCCAGGCTGCCTCCCCCTCGGGGCCCCGGTTTTCGGCCACCTCCTTTGCCCTGGGGGCCTGGGGACGCCGGAAGGCGCCGGGCCGGTAGGGCCGCGCACCCGCCTCACCCCTCTCGAAGTCCATCTCGTCCAGCGTCTGCTGCACGCCGGGAGCCGCGCTGGGCCGGGAGCAGCAAGGGCCTTCGGCGCAGGGCCGCGGCACCGCCATGTCGCCCTCCGCGCCCTCCCACCCGCCGGCGGGCGCGGCCGCGGGTAAGGTCACGGGCACGGGCGCCGGCGCGGCCTCGGCGAGCGGGGTGGGCGGGGCGGGCGCAGCGCTGCCCACCCGCCCGGCCTGACCACTCGGCGTCCGCACGAGCCACGGGGCCGACCAATCAAGCTTCTGGGTCTGAGCCCGGGAGCCAATCGCGGCGGTGGGGTTGGACCTGGGGGTGGGTGCCTGGCCGCGCCCGCCCGAAGCGGCCACGCGAGGGCGTCCCAGGCTAAGCGGAGGCCGGGGCGCGCCCGCTGGAACCCAGGGGGGCGGGGGCGGGGGTGGGGTGGGTCGGGAGTGTTTATGTGGCGTCCTTCCAGGTTCTCTTCGTCCCACCGGGCTCCCCAAGGGCCGGGGGTCGCCGGGAGCACCCCAAGGTCCTTTCCCCCTTCTTTCCCCCACCACGCGGGCCCAGGAAGACGGGTCACCAGGGCGGCGCGGTGACCACTTGAAAGGCCGCGCGACACCCTCCCTCCTCTCGCCCCTCTTGCTCACTTTTTAAAACCCCGTGGGAGGCAGGTAGTCATGACCTATCCTGTCGCTGGGAGCACCTGCACGTAGGCCCGGGGGGCAGGGAAAAGGGCCTGGAACCCTCAACCTCACAGTGGGCACCTCGTTTACCGAATCAACCTTCTTGTATCGAGACATTCTCTGGGCTGTGGCTTAGTGAGCGTGCGGGAAAAGTAGCGTGCTCAAGTCAGCAGATGCCAGCCCTCTCTTAACGGTAGGACGCCGGGCAGCAGCCTATTCCAGCCACAGCAGGCACCCCCAGACTGGTCAAGGGTACAGAGGACTGGCTGCCTCTGTGTGTGGGCGTGAATTATAGAACCCAGGCGGGGTCCTGTTTTTCTTACAAATATCTGGGCCCTGCACGGCTCCTTCCATAGGACAGGGGCTTGGTGCCCACCGGGTGGCAATGGGGAAAGTTCCCTATGGCGTGTAGCTGAAGCATTCAGGGCTAACAGTCTGGAGGGTAAAGGCTGGAAGTCATCTTTCCTCCCTTACGTTGGTTGGGAGCCCCATCCTCACACGAGCCAGCCCACACCACCTTAAGCTGCTTCTAGGAAGTTCCCCTCCTCGGCCCCCTCACTCCCATTTCCCCTTCCCAGAGTTCTGGGAAGCCAGGCCCCTCCCGCTCTCCTGCTTCTACTCCCCATGCCCTGACTTCTCCCTTTGGCCAGAAGCCAAGGCTGGCTCTCAAGAGGCTGTGGCCCTGGTCTGGCTCCCAGCCCGAACCACCACTGTGGGAAAACATTGGCGCCTGGGCTGTCCCCCCTCCAGAGAGGGGCACAGGCAGGAGGGGGACCACTGAAGGAAAGGGAGGCTGCCCCAGGACTGAGAAGGGGGGCAGTCCAGCCCCACTCAACCCACAGGGAGTCTCCCTCTTGGCACCCAGAAGGTTTTGGCCCAAATGTCTTGTCTCCGTGACAGGAAGTTTCATTTTCTCCATTTTATTTGTCCATATAAAAATACTCAAATATTTACAACAAATAAATACGTGGGGACACAATAAGTTACACTGTGAGAAGCCCTCCTCCTGGGGCTGGGAGAGGATGTGCCGCATCCACAGCATGCCCGCCCTCTCCTCCCCTCCCCCTCCCCCTCCCCCCACACCACCTTTCCCAGCCCTGCCAGGGAGGACAAGTATAAAATACCACTGAATCCCAGGGCCAAGCAGGAGGCCCCTCCCACCCTTCCCTCAAACACACAGGAGGCTCCATCTCCCTCCCCCCCACCCTGAAAACATTCACAGCCCCGGGAGTAGGACCAGGCCCACCCCAGAGCCCTGGACTCCCCCAAAGGGGCACAGCACCCTGCCCAGCCCACCCCCGTATGTACATGGCTGCCCCCCAACTGGGGACAGGCGGGGGTAGGAGAGGCAAAGTGATACAACCCCTTCCCCTTCATAGCTTCAGTGACCCACCAGGAGGACCCCAGGCCAAGGGAAGACTTGACAGAAACAGGAAGACTGTGTCACACACCCACACACACATACGTGCACACGTCCACAGACACACATGTATGTACACAAACACACCCATGTCTCCAACTTCCGCCTTGAAAGGTTTTGGCTGCTGGGGTCCCGTGCGTCTGATTCACAGCCCCTCACAGAGGAGGAAGGTGCCCTCTGTTGTGAGGCTGGTGCCCCGGTGAGCCACACCAAGTGGCAGTGCCCGTGCTGAGAGAGCAGGTCCTCATGGCCGGGCGGTGCCGGGCAGGGTCCGTCCGGGGCAGAGCAGGTGCCCGTGCCATGTCCCTGAGGTAGCTGGTGCCTGTGCAAAAGTAGGAGCCGCGCCTCCCACGCCGCCCCGCCGGAGGGGTACCCTCACACCGAGGACTCCTCGGGGTTGGAGTCCGGCAGCTGCTGGCGCTGCTGCAGTTTGCGTCTCAGCTCGTCGGCGAGCTCGGGCAGCGGGTGCCCGAGGCTGCCCCGGTCCTCCCCTCCCAGCTGTAAGCGCACGTATCCGTTGGCATTGGAGTTCCGCCCACCCCCCAGGTGGAGCCGAGTTGGAGAAGGCAGGGGCTGGCCGGGGATGCCAGGAGGTGGCGAGGGGGGCCCGCCGCCGGGCTGGCACCGGGCGTGTCCAGGAACAATCTTGAGGGAGCCGTCCGAGTAGTAGTAGCCCACGGGGTCCCAGAGTTTCTCGTCCGTCTCGGGGCCGGGCCGGAACGGGGGACTGGTGGGCTCCTTGGGCAGCTCCAGAGGGTACACCAGGGTCCTCTCGGCTGCCTTGGCGCCCTTCTCCAGCTCCTCCCGCAGCCGCCGGCGCAGGGACAGAACCAGCAGCAGCAGCACAAGGCACACGGCCCCCAGGGCCACCACGGCCAGCCACACCAGCCCCAGGCTCTCCAGGGGGGCCCGGGCCTCCAGGGTCACCGACGGGCCCGCCACCACTGCCACCAGGTAGCCTTCGGCAGCCAGCCGGGCCCCCTGCTCCTCCGAGAAGCAGTGGTAGGCCCCGGCGTGGCGGGGCTGGGCGGCCATCACCACCAGGGCCTGCAGCCGGGCGTCGTAGAGGAAGGAGCCGGGCTGCTCTGCAGGCAGCTCCCGGCCCCCAAAGGTCCAGCGGGCATGGGCGAGGTTGGAGGAAAGGCGGCAGGGCAGCACCAGGTCTGTGCCTGCCACCACGGTGATGTTTCTGGGCGTGAGCCTGACTGCAGCGGCAGAGAAAGCAGAGCAGAGTCAGTGCAGGAAACCCAGGCCGGGGGGCGGATGCAGACACTCCAGCTCTGGCCCAAGGCCCACCGCCCTGGGAGAGGGACTAAAAAAAACAGCTCACCTTTCTTACTGCCCCGGAAGTTACAAATGCTTGAGGTGTCTGAGACTGTCACGTGCTGGATCAGCAGGGACCTGGTGGGGGAAGCAGAGGCCATCAGCGTCCCAGCTCTAACTCCCTCCCCTCCCTGCTGGTCCCAGCACGCGCAGAGCCCCGCTCACCCGGAGTGGCCGCCCACGGCCGTGCAGCGGCTGGTGTTGACGCTCCAGGCGCAGTAGGGGTCCCGAGCAAGCACGCAGTCAGCGCAGGAGCGGTACTTCACACAGTCGGCCAGGGGCAGCTGGACCAGCTGGGAGCGGGAGCCCGCAAAGAGCAGCTTCTGCCAGAGAAGCACAGGAGGGGGGTGAGCCAGGCCCGGACATGGCCTGGGGGCGGCTCAGACCGTTGCCAGGGGGCACAAGGGGCCCAAAAGAGAAAGGGGGCTGCGCTCAAGTCCTGAGGAGGGAAATCTGAGGACTGAGAATGCACGGAGGGCTTACTACAAGCCAAACGCAATCCTAAGCACCTTACAGATGTGACCTTATTAAAAAGGAACAGCAAACCTGTGAGGCCGAGAAATATAATCACACACACACACGCCCCTACACACACACACGCCCCTACACGCACACGCCCCTACACACGCACACGCCCCTACACACGCACACACCCCTACACACACACACACCCCTACACACACACACACACACACTCACTCCAGGACAGTATAAATAGCGCAGGAAGTTCAGTTTCCGCAGGGCCCGTCAGCCTCACAATAGCACCAGCAGAGCATAAGGCGTTTTCCTCTGTTTGAATGGTGATTGCCAATTTGTGTGTTTCTTCAACCACAGACTTTGTTTCTGCCATTATTCCACGTTCTGGAGAAACAACCTGAGCCACCACAGGTGGTGAAAGGCAAGCACGTGAAGGTGCCACAGATTCGCCAGAAGAGAGTAGAGCAAGAGCAGAAGTGAGAGCAGCATTTCGGGGAACGGCTTCGCGCCGGAGGCAGGGGGCAGGGCTGGAGGGCAACGGGGCCGGTCGGCAAGGCGACATCACGAGGGCATCACGAACCGACACAGCACAAGGCCTGGCCAACAGTGGCACCGGCAGAGAAGAGGCACAGCGCAACCCCGAGGGGCCTGAAGAAAGCGCACAGAGCAGCTGCCAAGGCCCCGTTCTGGGAACGCAGCCCCGCCAGGACCAGGCTATATATAAAACATAATGCCCGGCTGCCAGGACCAGGCTATATATAAAACATAACGCCCGCAGAGCGCGGATTCCGTTAGCGCTCTCATTCCTGGGACCCGCCCCAAGCTACCCGAGGTGGCTCAGGCATCTCCCCACCCCTGTACCGGCCAAGCACACGACCAGGGGTGGCCTGGGGACAGTGGTGGGTGGGGCCTGATTACTACCTTGCTCCGGGACAGGACCAGGCTTTCCACTGGCTCCTGGTCAAACACCTGCAGCTCCTCAATCAGGTGGACCCAGGGCCCCAGGCTCACGGCCTTGAGCAGCCAGCCATCTCCTGTGGGGGGGCGGGGGAGGACAGGTGTAAAGAAAAGAGCAAGAGGCTCTCCCCGCCCGGGGCACACAGGCCTTCGCCCAGTCCCCAGCGGCCAAGGCCGTGCCCCCTGGGCCCACCTGTGCCGATGAAGAGCACTGTATAGGTGGCTCCATCAAGCCCCGTGACCCGGTCAGCCACCAGGTGGGTGAAGTTGGCGTCTTTCTTCACCAGCAGGGGCCGGCCCCACCGA